ATGGAGACAGACTTTTCCAACAAAGTGAAGTTTGTCTCTCACACTCTGACATTAAAGCCCAAACAGAAAGTGGTTCCATCTCTCAGTGCTGCTCCACTGCTGCCAATTTAAAAATCTGTGAAAACTGAAAGGTTTGCCTATAGTGTATGACACACTCAGCAGTACCTCGCTCTGCCACAGGTGGGCAGCATAACTACAGGAAAGATAAATGTGCTTTTGTGCGGCTGAGACAGAAATGTCAACAAAGAAAAGAACACAGTTTCAAACTGAATTTTTACATTAAAAAATAACACATTACAAAGACTAATTAAATCAAGGATATGTTCTGAGGTTTTATGAACTTATAAATTGTACTGATATAAATTGTATACCACACATGTCATTATGTTGCCCTTTTATACATTACTTGTATATTAAAAAGTTACTCAAAAAGCTAAAAGGTAACTTAGTGTCAGCTTGAGTTCAAATCCAACGTCAGTCTGAAGAACAGCCACCAGTTTAGCTTATGAAAATACAATATTTATTATATATATTTCTTTACTTCACATAACTTGAACTGTACTGCCCTCTTGAGACCGCAGTGGGAACTGTTTTACACAAGATAATCTCAGTTTTAAAGTAGGAAACTGGACTCACCTCAAATAAGTGGAGGACGTTTCGCCTCTTCGTCAGTTCTACTTTCCTGGTGGGGAGTTTCCAGGTATTTATCCACTCCAGAGTGGGTGTGTGGGTCCCAACAATATAAAATATTGTTTATAATATAGTGTGGTTTATAAACGTCAGTAGTTTTTGCCTCTAATATCGTTTACCATCGTCCATCCATCAGGGCAGACACTTATAGCAGCGTTCCAGTCCAGCGTCTGTTCCTACTGCTGGTTTCTTACGTCACGTCACAATGAAAATGCACTAATATTACATTTGTGTCGTTTTAATAAAAAAAAAAAGTTAATTTTATTACATAAATGCCTCATTAACTTCACTAAAATAACTGAGCTTCATGTAGTGAAACACCGCGCAGGTAAGTTTGTTTTTGCTACCGACTTCCTGAATCCTGTCTGCTCATGCGCAGAACAGCGAGGCGGGAAAGGAGGGAAGGGGTGGGGCTGCTGACGTAGAAGTTTTTTTTTTTAAACTTCTCCAGGACACAGGAAGTTGTCGTATTCCTGTATACCTGTGACATTAAACTTCACATGTTTAATAAGAGTCACATCACAGATTAAAACATTACAGTAATAAATGACGTGTTTTACAGGAAAAGACGATTTAATATCTATGAATCCTTTCAACTTCCAGAACCATAACAAACTAACAAATAAAACTTTCCAATTTTAATGAGGAAAGCCGGTCACACGCACGTACGCACTTGTGCACGAGAAACACAAGAAGCGCGAACGTGCGCATTTATACACAGCTAATCATTTTAACACATAACAGATAGACACTTAAATCAGGTTAAGAGAAGAGTCAGAAATGAGTTTTCACTAAAATGAAAAGATAAAAAAAAAACAATATTCAAAGTGACAAACAATATTTTAAAGTAATGAATATATTTTAATCCTTTAAAACCAGTTTAGAGATTTAATATTAGAAAGATTAAAAAGAGCGTTTGAGGTCATCAGAGGTAGACAGGTGTCATACACTCATCTACCACTGAGTGGCAGACACGAGCTCAACGGCGGCAGCCTGGAGCACATAAAGAAAAATCCCTAATGCACTGAAAACAGTTTATAGAGAAAGTGTTATTGTGTCCTTCCTCAGATGTACCTCAGTGACATGAACTGACCACAGGGGGCAGTAGACCAGCATCCCCTTTGATACCGTGAGCTAAAAATCACTGATTTCCTCTATGGACTTTGGTGTAGTCTCTTCTGCAGTCTCTTCTATCATCTTCAGTCGGTTCTACAGTCGGTACCAGGTGATTCTGTGGGAAGATTTCTGTGGCCGGAGGTCCTGAGAGGCAACGTCTCTGATTTTTTTTTCCATTCAACTGTTGCCAAAATTTACCACGATGAAGAAATAGACAGCAGATGTTAGAGTGTGTGGTTGGTAAGTCACAGCTGACAGGAGTAGTTATGAAGACGGAGGAGGAGACGGAGCAGGAAGGGAAGAAGGAGGTGAAGGTCTGTGAAGTGGAGACAGGGCAGGAGGACGGCATGTGGAAAAAGGTGAAGGTGAAAGGATGGAAGAGTTTAGTGGAGACGACGACGAGGAGGAGGAGGAGGAGGAGGAGGAGGAGGCGAAAGATTAACAGTCTGTCAGTCAGTAAGTGTGTGCGCACACACACGCACTCACGTGCGCAATCTGATCTGTTGAAGTTTAAGTCTGTCAGTCTGTTTCCTGCTGCTTGTTAGTGTGTGTGTTCGTGTTTGTGTGTGTGTGTTCCCCATTATGTCACAGTGGGAACTTGAAAAATAAACACTCCACACCAGCTAAGTAGACATTTTCACTCAGAGGCCCACTCACTCTTCCACACCAAAGTCGAGAAAAAGAGAGAAAAATCAGTGATTTTAGCTCACAGAGTTGCTGGTCCACTGCTGCCTCCTGTGGTCAGTTTTGGCCATGAAGGTCCAAGCCTGTAAACAATATCTCAAATTTTAAACCCATGTAGTTCCTGTCTTGGTACAATCTCCTTAATACTGAGTTAGGTCACGATGTCACGATGTCACGCTCAACCCCGGACCCTTGTCGATCGGCCATCACCCCCCCGCCCCCTCCCGACCCCTCACCTCCACCTTCTGTGGTCCCTTATCTGAAGCAGGCGTCAGCCTCATTACAGCAGGGCTGATGTTTAGCAGCTGAATCACCTCCTGCTGCTGCTGCTGCTTTCAGAGACGTCCATCCATCATCAGCAGCCGTCACAGACACAGACTCAGATCCACATGTGCTGCTGAAAAGTCCAGTCTGAAATGAACAATATTCACGTTATTACGGTGACACATCACAGGACTTGACTGGATAGAAAATACAGTTCACTTCAAACTGGGTTTATTCTGATTGGCTGTTGGTGATGTTTAATGTTTAACAAACTGCCATAAACGACGACTAAATACTCAATTCTGAACATTTCATTTATCAAGTGAATATTTCTTTCCTAAACACATTGTTATTATTTAAATTTATCATAAAGAGACAAAATAATTTCACTAAACTTACAGAGAAATGGATGAAGAAACAAACACAGTGTGTGTGAAGGTGAATTCAATTCATGGCTGTCACTTTATAACTGATCCAGATTTAAAGGAAAGTACTACTTTAAAATGTTTAAATGCCATTAAAACACACACACTCACACACGTGTTCCTCTGTCCTTGTTACTCCTGAAGTTGATGGTTCTCAGATTTGTTTTATGATATTTTGGACAGACGGAGGAGAACCGTCTCTCTCCTCCTCCTCCTGTAAATCTAAACCATCTGTCCTGATCAGACCACAGTCTGACTGAACTCTTCCTGATTTCAGTCCTACAGCTGACCTCTACTGGACCTACAGCTGACCTCTACTGGACCTACAGCTGACCTCTACTGGACCTACAGCTGACCTCTACTGGACCTACAGCTGACCTCTACTGGACCTACAGCTGACCTCTACTGGACCTACAGCTGACCTCTACTGGACCTACAGCTGACCTCTACTGGACCTACAGCTGACCTCTACTGGACCTACAGCTGACCTCTACTGGACCTACAGCTGACCTCTACTGGACCTACAGCTGACCTCTACTGGACCTACAGCTGACCTCTACTGGACCTACAGCTGACCTCTACTGGACCTACAGCTGACCTCTACTGGACCTACAGCTGACCTCTACTGGACCTACAGCAGAATAACTGTGATATCTTCAGGGTGATCTCACTCTGAGTCAGACTGAAAACTACAGAATCATTTTAAATCAAAAAAAAAAAAATCTCAAACTTTTTCTCCAGCTCTCACAGTCTGGGATACGAACCAGCAACCTCTCATCCTCCCCCCCCCCCCCCCGTCCTCCTCCTTCTCGGAGATCAGTCGGACGTCTGAAGCCAGATTGCAGTGGTTAAGTTTAAAGTGAGGCAGAGTGACTGAGGTGATGGCGTCCAATGTCCTGTCAAAACCTCTCAGTTCACTCTTTCATCACACAAGACTCACTTTCTCCTCCCCCTCCCTCCATGACTCCCCCCTCCCCCTTCTCATCCCCCAACTACACTACTTCGACTCCTGCTCTTCTTTTCTGTTGGAGGACTATGACAATATTTCTTGAAGGCGAGGGTTTGACTTTTATTTTGTTCTTAAATATGAAAAAGAACTTAGAGAAGGAACGGTTTTAAACAACATGATATAAATTGTGATGTCATCCCAAAATGTTATTAAAAAGTAATGAAACAAAACAAAATCATATCTATCTATTTATTTAGTTCAACAAATGTGTTATCCATTGTTCAGACTTACCGTCAGTGACACACACTGACCACAGGTGGCAGCAGCTGCCGTGTCCCTGGACCCCGGTCCTCACGTCACTACAACAATAAAACAATCAGGGATCAATAGATCATCTGACAGGTGTCATCAGTTAAACACTGCTATTGTTTACACTGGTCATTTCCGCTGACCTCTGACCTTCTGGACTGTCACCCAGTAGTTTGACTCTCTGTGACGTCACAGACTGAATTCAGCAGATAACAAAACAACGTCAGATTAAATTAGGAAAAATGAGAAGATGCAAATAAATAAATAAATATAATCAACAGAACCTCTCTCTGTCTCTCTCTCTCATTTCCCCTCATTTGATTGGGTGCGTCCCGCCTGGTGGGCGGAGCCTCGACTACAACCTCATGGTGTCTGAGTGTGTGTGTGAGAGTGTGTGTGTGTCTCCTCCGGAAAAGAGGAACAGTCTGCAGACTGGGATGAAGCAGCAGCAGCAGCAGCAGCAGCATCTTCTTCTTCATCTTCATCACTGAAATTTTGAACAGAGATCGAGGAAAAAGTTTCAATATTGTAATTTAAAAAAAAACAGAGATCGAGAAAAAAGTTATAATTAAAAAAAAAACAGCTCATGTTTAAATATTCTTATATATATGTTTTTTTTTAAATTATCTTTTAAATAAAGATTAAAGGAGACTTTTTTTATTGTGCGTAAAAGTGTCTCCTGGACATTTGTCTTAACCTGGACCTGGACCAGAACCTGGACCAGGACCTTAACTACAGCTGTTATCCAGAAAAGTCCGGATAAACCCGCCGTCGAACCTCCTCTTTCACCTCCGCTCGGACTGAATCCCGGTCCGTCCTCCCCAGGGTCTGGGGCTTCTCTGTGATTCCTCTGTTACTGATGGAACCATGAGGAGAGCCGCTGCTCCTCTTCGCCTCCTCCCGCTCCTCTTCAACCTGCTCCTCGCAGCCTCCGCGGCGCAGCGTCTCCTCCTGGGTCAGATCTCGGACAAGTCACCGGCGGGGACTCCGGTGGACGGAGTCAGACTGCGGCTGCAGGGACCAGGAGTCTGCGGAGCAGAGGAGCTGAGGAGCGGACTGAGCGGAGAGTCCTCCCGGGATTTCAGACTAGTTTATCACCGGGAGGAACTCCAGCAGAACCTGGAACGGAACCCGTACCTGGGGTTGGTTTCAGCCAAGGTTCTGGACCGAGAGTTTAAAGCCATGTATGAGCTGCAGGTTCACCTGCGATGTCTGAGAGGAACCGTGTTAATAAAGGTAAATCAATCAATCAATCAATCAAATTTTTAAGATAATAAATTACAAATAATTTATTTTTTAGATAATAAATTACAAATAATTTAGCGATATCGTTGATCATGTGACATTTTCTTTTTTTCTACTTAATCTAAAAAGTTTCATATTCAAACCTTTGTTAATGAAATATCACACAGTAATAAAAATAATAATAGCTTCAAATGCTAAATGATAGCCATAAAAGGCTAAAATGCTATAGAAAGTTACAAAGCTAAAGGTTTGACAGAAAATACTTTAAGCCAAACTGAGACTAATGGTTGAAAGACAGCTAATGGTTAGCCACACGGCTAACAAAAAAAAAAGAAATATATAGAAAACACTTTATACACTTAATACTACAATATTTTAGCTAATAATTTGGCTAATTAAAGTAGCTAAAGAAGCTAGCAAAAGAGAGTTAAAGAACAGCTAAGAAAAAACAAATCCTTGGCTAAGAGATAATGTTGAAAAATGTTCTAGAACTGGTCCGACCTGAACGTACTGGACAAAAATTAAATACTTTTTTTTTTCTTTCTGGTTCTGATTGTCCACAGGTGGAGGTTTCGGAGCAGAACATCAACGTTCCTCACTCCTCCTGTGGGAACCTGACCGTGGACTTGGATGAGTTGACGCCTCTCGGCACCAAAGTGCTTCACCTAAAGGATCGGTGTTCAGACACGGACAAGAATGGACCAGTCGTCTTCTACGCGTCACCAGAGTCAAAGTTACTCCACGTGGTTCCACGCGGTGGTCAGGTGGTTCTGGTGGGGTGGAGCTGCGTCTGTACGCGAAGGACGGAGGTGATGCAGCACTGGCCGGTGAACCGGTGTTTCTGCACGTCAACGTCCTCAAACACCAGCTGCAGAGGAGGAAGAGGACCAGGAGGAACGTCTCTGAAGAACCAAACTTCACTGTGATGGTTCCAGACCAGGCCCAGGTGGGAGACCTGGTCTTTACGGTACCAGAGTTGAGGTTCCAGCAGAGGTGGTTCGAGGTGATCCCAGAGGCAGCAGACTCACCGGTCCAGATTGAGCGGGACTCCGGACGTTTGTTCCTGGCACGCCACCTGCAGGAACCTGAGGAAGTGACAGTGAAGATCCAGAACCGCAGAGGTAGGAACAAGACTTTCTTTTTTCTGATCTCCGTCACTAGTTTCAGGGAGACTTTAAATTTTCTGATCTCCGTCACTAGTTTCAGGTGGTCTTCATGTCTCGGTCCAGTCCAGGACCTGAGTGTAGATTCAGATCATTCCATCGTCACTGGTTCTCCCATGTGACCCACTTTCCAAAGTAAATGTTTAATCAACAAAATCAACTGAACTTCACATCTGGTCTGGTCTCTGCTCCGGTCTCAGGTCTCTGTCCTCATCAGTTGGTCCAAACGGACTCTCAGCTGGGTTTATTTGCAGAAGTGAGTGGTGTTTGTTCACCTGGAGCAGCTCCAGCTCTGAGCTGAGCCTCAGCCTTTGGCAGGAAGTCCTGTTTGTTGCTCTTAGACAGAGAAGGTGGGCTGTGTGATTTGGTGGACACACGTCTGTGAGCGTGGTGTAAACAAAGTCTTTGATTGGAGGTCGGTCTGGTTTCTGTCTCCAGTTTGACTGTGATGTGAAGGAACAATGTCAGGGTTTTTTAGTGGTGAAAGACTGAAGACTGAACGATGATGATGATGTACCAGGACTGTTGTAGCTAACGTTAGCTCAGGTGTCTGTACCAGGACTGTTGTAGCTAACGTTAGCTTTGGTGTCTGTACCAGGACTGTTGTAGCTAACGTTAGCTCTAGTGTCTGTACCAGGACTGTTGTAGCTACCGTTAGCTCTGGTGTCTGTACCAGGACTGTTGTAGCTACCGTTAGCTCTGGTGTCTGTACCAGGACTGTTGTAGCTAACGTTAGCTCAGGTGTCTGTACCAGGACTGTTGTAGCTAACGTTAGCTCCGTTTCACAGCAACATGTTTTAGGTGGTGAAACTGTGAACTAGAACTATAATCATATCAAAAACTACAAAAAAAACTCTTCCATCATTCTTTTTCTGGCTTGCAAAAAACTTTAGGTGCATTGCTGCCATCTACTGGCTGTATGTGTCACTGTTATCAGTGACACATATAGACTGCACTTCATCGTCAATAGTTTATATTTAATAGTTTGTTGTTGTCGATGTTTGTTTTGCGGTAAACTGCAGCATGTCAAAAATGATGTTTGTTTTGCGGTAAACTGCAGCAGATTCTTGTTTACTTCTGTTCCTCTGGCAGCCATGTTTTCACCCTGACTGATCCTCCGTCAGAAACCCTGAACACACACACACACACACACACACACACACGGCTTCAAAAAGCCCTAAACCCCTGAACTATCACATTAACTCAGCGTCACGTGTTAAACTTTCATGAAATTCCGTTGAATTTTTCAGGCCCGTTGTCCCAGCTGTCTCAACTCGCCATCGACACACACACACACACACACACACACACACACAGTCTCTGACCTCTGACCTCAGGGAAACAAGACATGATTTCATGATTATTTTTTAATTCCCTTTACTTCTCATTAACTGGGTTGATATGAAAATTATTTCATAAAATCATTGTCTCTCTGTGTGCGTTTAATTAACAGAGCTGCGCACACACACACATGCGGACGCACACACACACATTTAGTGTGTGTGTGTGTTCTGTTGTCTTTATTTCTGGATTCTGCTTGAGGCAGGAGGGAACCTGTCACCCCAACAAGTGTTGGTGTGTGTGAGTGTGTGTGTGTGTTTACCCTCAAGGCTGATAAGCTTTACAGTCATTTTTTTTGTTCATTGTGTTGAAAACACACACACACACACACACACACACTAATCGTTCTTAATATAATTTCTCATCAGTGGCTAAAGTTCAGTCAAAACTCAACCTGAAAATTCCCATTCTTTCCGTCAATAATGTTTTTGTTTTTTTTTTTTCGTTCTGCTGACCTCCATCACCCAGCAGGTCGTCTGCTCTGGTTTGTCTCCGTCCGTCCTCGGTGTCCCTCCTGTTCTTTCCATCACTCCGACCCGTTTCCTCTCACAGCTATTGTCCTAATAGCTTATCGACGGCCAATCAGCCGTGGCCTGGGGCCAAGCCTCTCACCAATCACCATGTAGGACAAGGTCACAAAGAGCCACGAAACAACACGGAGTAACACGGACGGAGAACATGCTAACGACGCCCAGAGAGACGCTGGTTTGAAACCTGATCAAACTTTGAAATGAATTTATTATGAATTTTGAATTTTTGAATTTTTTTTAATTTGAATTTTTGAATTTGAATTTTTGAAATTTGAATTTTTTATGAATTTTAGCGTTAAATTCATGAAGATCATTTTTTTAGCAATTTTTTTTTAGCTTTCAATATGGAACTAAAACCTGATTGTTCATGGTTTTTATCTTTTGTAGAAGACGTACTGATCTATTCTCCAGTGGCTCATCCTAACCCTAATCTTTGTCCGTCCCCTCGCTCTAATCTGAGTCCATTTCCTAATCCTAACGCCTCAGTCTGTGGACACCAGAAAAATGTCCCCACAAGGACAAAAGCGTCCACACAACCAAAAAAAAAAAAAACCCAAATAAGCTGGACCAGGAACACACACTCACACACACTCACACACACACACCATCCATATGTGTGTGGCTGCTACACATCATCTTGTCTGTTCATGTGTATGTGTGTGTGTGTGTGTGTGTGTGTGTTGACTTGTCCTTGCTAATTGTCTGCCATCAACACCATCTCTGCAGCTGCGTGTGTGTGTGTGTGTGTGTGTGTGTGTGAACAGATGAACAGACAGAGCTGCTCCTGCTGCAGTCGGACTTTTCTGATTGGTTTCAGTTCAGTTTTGATCTGATCTGAGTTTTTCATTTGATGAAGTCACAGTCTGGAGGCTAAAGATGCTAACGCTCTACGTCCACACAGAAAACCAGTGGTTTTAGAGTTTCACAACACGCTCAAATGTTGTGATATTTGGTGATTTCACTGTTGGAAATGTCCTGAGATTAACCCCAGTGACACAAACTGACCACAGGAGGCAGCATTGGACCAAACAGCTCCTTAAAATCAGTGATTTTCTCCATGGACTTTGGTGAACAGAACAGATGAACAGCTGAGTTTTAAAAAGTGTCACATTAGGAACAAGTGATGTGCGACTTAATCACATGACCTTCAGTAATCCCTGCAGTCGCAGCTCGGCGTCTCCAGAGTGTCCGTCCAACGTCCTTTGGTCTTTCCTCCTGGGATCCTGCCCTCTGCTGGTTGAAAGGACAAGTGTGTCTTTGACTCTTCGTCTTTCGCTCTCTGTTGGTATTAAAGGAGACGACACTGAGCTCTGCGGCTAATCTGCTTCAGAAAGATAAAAGGAGAAGAGTTGGGGAAGGAGACACCGACCCCCTGTTGTTGTTGGAGGGGGGGGGGGCTGAGGACCCAGGTCACTGTCAGAACCGGGTATTCAGACCCTGCAGTACCAACAATCTGATTGGTCAGTGAAGAGGACGTGAGGGTGAGGATCAGGGAGAAGATGATGTGAATGTGGATCATTTTCAAGTATTACTTCAACCCAGTACACGGAGCTCATACCAGCAGCCTGACAAAGACAAAGTACTTCGTAGTAAATACAGTTAGTAGTACCTGAAGTGTTCTGACTAACATTTAAAGTATAAACTATAGATGTTACTGAAAATGGTTCCTGGTACAAAAACTACTGGTACTGTTGGTGTCGTTGTCCGGGCAAAAACAAAAATTAAAAAACATGTCAGTTACCTCACAGTGTAATGTGAGCTTGGTGCATACACACACACACACACACACACACACACACAAACACACACACTGCCAGCTGTCCATACTGGTCTCTGGGCACCTGACCCACATGTTTTCTCCTCAAAACACACACAGACACACACACACAAACACACACACATACACACAGAGACACTGACACACACACACAGACACTGACTATCTTCTAACCAGTAAACTGTTGGTTTTCAAAGTCTAACACTGAAGGTCTCCATCAAAGGACACACAAACACACACACACACACATGAAATATGTTTCATTGTCGTCGAAAAACACAGACAGACATCGACGTCCAACCTCAGTCCATGAAAATCCATCCGTTATCGACCGCTTGTTCCTCTGCAGGGTCACGGGTCGGAGGCACTGCAGCCAATCCCAGCTGTTCACCCTGATGGTTAGAGAGAAAAAAAACAAAAAAAAACACACTGTCATACTGTCTCTGTTTTACTGCAGTAATACTCATTCTCTTTGATAACATCCATCCATTCATCTGACTCGGAGAAAAAAAACAAAAAAAAACACACTGTCATACTGTCTCTGTTTTACTGCAGTAATACTCATTCTCTTTGATAACATCCATCCATTCATCTGACTCGGACGGTCCACATGTTGGACCTGCACCAGACTTTGAAAACCACAGATCTAAGGCTGATGCTAACGCTAACTGTTAGCGTTGGACCAACACCGCTCTAACACTTTGAGTCGGTGCAGCATCTGCTGCTGCTGCTGCGGCTCCTTCTTCTCAGGTGAACTTTGACCTGCGGACAGTGCAGGTGCGCTGACGAGTGTCCGACTTCCTGTCTGAGTCGTTCTGCCTCCTGACTTCCTGTCTGAGTCGTTCTGCCTCCTGACTTCCTGTCATCACCCTCAGCTGGGTTCACCGTGTGTGATGAGACAGAGGCCTGACTCTGTGTATGTGTTAGCGCAGGTGATGACAGACGCCATGTTGGAACAGCTTCACCTGAGAACACAACCCCACGTCTACGGCAGGGTGGACCAAACTCTGGGGCAGGGACCACAGATTTGATCACTTTCAGTTTCCCTGTGACAGAACATCTTTACGAACTATATCCTCTAGCTCCTCCTCATGGTCAAAAAACATACAAATTTAGGTTAAGATTTCCATTTTAAACTGACCAAAGCTGTAACTGTCAGTACAGTTGTTGTTTATACGTGTATGTGGCCCCGCCCCCCTCTGTACGACGGCCACGGATTGGCTCCAATTCCCACTGGAAATCCTGAAAAATAGCGAATAATCTGAAAAATAAACGCTTTAATTTCTAATTGTTTTAGACCGTACACAATA